CCACGCCCACGCCCACGCCCCCGCCCACGCCCACGCCCACGCCCACGCCCACGCCCACGCCCACGCCCACGCCCACGCGCACGCGCACGCGCACGCGCACGCGCACGCGCACGCGCACGCGCACGCGCACGCACCCACATGCAGCGCAGTGTGCAACGCGTGCCACCTGCAGCAGCGCACGCGCACCAGCTGCGCGCACGCGCCACCGCGCCCGCACTGCAGCATCTGCCCGCCCACGCGCACGCGCACGCGCACGCGCACGCGCACGCGCACGCGCACGCGCACGCGCACGCACCCACACACACACACACACGCATGCGCGCAAGCAGCACCAAACAGACACACGCAGACACAGGCAGACACACGCCGACAGACACACACACACACACGGACACACACGCACACACACACACAGATCAGACAGACGCACACACACACACACACACGCTGAGACAGACACCCACACACACAGCCACAGACGCAGACATGCACACACAGACACACACACAGAGAAGCGCACAGATTCAGACAGACACACGCAGACAGACGGACACCGACGTAGACAGACAGACACACATAGACACACACACAGACAGACACAGACACACACACACAAGCACACACAAACACAGCTCACACACACACACACACAGAGAAACAGAGAAACAAAGCCAAACAAACACTCAAATTCAACACACACACAAGCACAAACATAACCACACACACACACACCCAAGCACACACACAAGAAACCATAAAGACAAGCATAAGCACATACACACAAACACACAAACACAAACAAGCACACACACACAGAAAGACAGACACCGATGCAGACGGACAGACTGAAACACGCAGACGCACACAGACAGAGGCACGCACAGACAGACACACACACACAAAAGCAAACACACACACACACAGACAAGCAAACACACAAGCAATCACACACACACACACACACACACACACACACACACACACACACACACACACACACACACACACACACACACACACACACACACACACACACACACACACACACACACACACACACACACACACACACACACACACACACACACACACACACACACACACACACACACACACACACACACACACACACACACACACACACACACACACACACACACACACACACACACACACACACACACACACACACACACACACACACACACACACACACACACACACACACACACACACACACACACACACACACACACACACACACACACACACACACACACACACACACACACACACACACACACACACACACACACACACACACACACACACACACACACACACACACACACACACACACACACACACACACACACACACACACACACACACACACACACACACACACACACACACACACACACACACACACACACACACACACACACACACACACACACACACACACACACACACACACACACACACACACACACACACACTCGCACACGCACCTGCACACGCACACGCACACGCACACACACACACACAGACCCACTCGAGTTCTAATCCAAATAGCTATATTCTCCAAGCGTCTCCGCAATCTGATTTTGGCATGCGGAGGGTTCCGATGTCAGGGACACCAACCCAAGCGGCGCACGCGCACCATGAGTCACCATTCTACTCAATTCTAGTGACTGGGACGAAGCCCCGCAATTAACCAGTGGCTCGCCCACCTGACCAGGACCCCCTTGGTTGGGATATTCTTGTTTGGATTGAGGCATCCACTTGGATCTGAGGTTTGTGGGGAGACTCGATCACATGGCATGGGTTTCGGCTTTTTTGGTGGTTCCCTTGAAACCGATTTCAAAAAAGGGGGCCCTCAAAGAAAGACAGGGGGCCACGAATCCCGAGGTGATAGGCACCGTCCTCGACAAGTCCGAACGTGTGAAGGCAGATGCCTAGTTTCAAGTTCTGGTTTCCTCAGCCGCCAGGTCGACTCTGGGGGACAAGTTGTGGTTTGGGCACAAATCGCAGCTCGCTGGGCTGCAGGACACTTTTCCGTCCACTTTTGCGTGATGACAGTCATGGTTTGTTTCGCGTGGCAACACGTCCGCTTCTTCGTTTTGCCTCGGAGGATACAGGCGGAAAAAAAAGAGAGCCCTCACGAAAACGCGAGGGCCTCGCGCGCCGAGAGCCTGCTTGCCTCCCGACTGGTTGAAAACCAACTGCCAGAAGGTTGCCGAGGCGGGGGACAGACAGCCGGGCGCCCACTTGCGCAGTGTACCGATAGGCCCGAGTCGGCGCCGGCCGAAGGCCGAAGGGCGCTCGCGCGTTTGTAGGCAGAAAACGGCGGGGCTTGGCAGCTTGCGAAGCTTGGTCAACATCTCAAGTGGTGTATTCATGGTTTGTTGGGAAACATTTTCCCATTTTTGCTTATTGTGGTTTGGTGGTTAACCACTGAACTGCTCGAAGTTGGACACGGGAGACTGGCTAAATTGTCCCTCAATGCCCGGGCATACGCACTCACTCATTTTCCGGCGCCCAGTACGGGTGACAGCATATGTTGACCGTGGCCAGTGTGAGCAGGGGCACACATCGCGACAGCCGTTGACTTGGTCGAGGTCGGACCACCTCCAGAGACAGGCTGGGCTAGATTGGCGCCTGCTTGTTGTTTGAGTTCTTGAGTCCAGAAATCCGTTCCCGCACTTTTGGGGGTGCTTGGTTGCTGTTCGGCTCGACTCAAGAAGCCTTCTAGCTTTTTGGAAAATCAAATCTGTTTGGTCACACACGCTTGCATTCTTGCAGTCAAAGACTATCCAATGGATCAGAGCGTAGCGGATCTCATTCGTTAAGCCAGGACCGGCTCCCTCAGTTGGGATCGACCCGTGCGCCGGGGCTCGAGTTGGTGGGCGTCAGGGGTACGCCCCAGCCACTGTTGATTGGGGTGTGTGTTTTTTTGGAGGTTTCCCTGTTTTTAGTAGTTTTGGGTGCAGATCCCTACTTGAACACCTCCTACATGCCCCAGGCCGGAGACGTCACTACGTCACTTTTCCACTTCGCAGGTGCTTGAAGTTGGGGACATGGTCATCAGGCGAGGGCATGGGACGAATCGATGTCGGACCCGGGAAGTGCAGCAAGGACCTTGCAGCCTGTTGAAGGTTCCATTTTTCTAAGACGACACCCCCCCACTTTCCACAGGAAAGTCAGATATGTGTTTTGGAAGTTTAGGGGCTGTGTAGCGGAGGAAACCTTTGCGGCCCCTGGAAACCATCCTGGAATTTTGTGGTTGTCAGTCCATGGTCGGCACAGAGTCCCAGTGACAAATTCATTGCACAGCTGGTTACTACCATACCAGTCACGAGGTACACCGTCAAAGGCTGAATGTACATATGAACCCATGAATGCCCATGGTTTTCTTGTTTCTAGTTTCCAGAAGTTAGGCCGGAGCTCATGTGTAATTATATAGCCACAGGGCTTAAGCCCTGGGTTGACATGGTGAGAAGCATTCATCCTTTGACACGAACTATTTGAACCCATCCATAAGTTTTGGTGTAATGTTCAAGCCGGCCGTTTCCAAACAGGCCCCGCTTCGGTTTTCGCTACCCAGTCTCAGCCTTTGCTTTTTGGTTGCCTGAAAGTTCACCCGGGCAAGTCGGCTTTAGATTGACAGATAAAAACAAGCTCATCACACGTCCTGAATGTTAACCCCGGATAAATAAACCCCTGGTTGATTAATAGGGGGGTGTCCCCTTTTAGTGCGGAGTCCCTTTTGGAATGGGACGGGTTTATTATTCCTGGGTCCACAGACTGGTGAAACTGTTCTGATGCTCCCTCACCACACCGCTGGCTCAAGCTCAGTCCCTTAGTCAGGCCAGTCCCTCCTCGAAACCGAGAGGAACTGGCTTCGGCGTTTTCCGCGGCCGGCGACATTTGGGGGCGCCGGCGGCAGGTCAGGATTTCAGGATTTCGGAGACCCGGTCGGAGTGTTGGCAGATGGACAGCCGCTTACAATGGGCCTATGGACTTTGTATCTTGGAGGAACATGTTTCTGACGTTTTCAAAGGGACCCCAGTAGTGCCCTTTCTCACCCCTTTTCTGGGGGAGGGTTCCCTGACTAAAATAGACCACACAAAAAGTTGGTACCCTTATTCTAACCTCTGCTGGAGGACCTACCTTTTCAAAGGGACCCGCCTTTTAGTGGGGTCCTAGAGTCCTCCACTCAGAGCCGGCGCCCAACACACCAAGCCCGGAGGTTCGACCCGCTCGGGCGACTCCGGCAACTTGTTTTGACCCTTGGGACCTGGGGGGTGATCTTTGGGTTTCCCTTCGCCTGGCAGAGCAATCAGAGCACTCGCGCGTTGATGGCCTGACGCCCATGGTGATTCTGCGCGAGGCAATTCCTGTGAAGAGGCGCGGGCTTGTCTCTAATACGAGGTTCGGTCGAGACGACTGGTAGTCTATGTTTGGGAGGGACCTCTAAGTTTACCCACGGGGACGAACTCTAGTTTTCCCCGATGTGTGTTTTCGGAAAGCAAGTAGTTTGGACTCGGGTCACATGAGTATCAGACAATATCATTGGTAGTTGAGTACTGTTGGTTTGGGGGGAATGGGGGCTCAATTTTTCCGGCACTTTTAGGTACGCCGAGTCGGTACTTGCCCACTTGGGAGCCTATTGGGTCTCAAAAGTAACCGTTGTAAGGCTATCGGCTTGCAAAACGGATAACCACCTGGGGGTACTTGAGCATTCCTGGGACCCGCTTCGGTGACATGCTCTTCCTTTTCGGCCGCGTCTACGCATCCGGTGATGGATCGCCCGGGCGTGCATTCACCATCCTCCGATTGACAAACGGACCGCAAGCCGCAAGCCGTGTCCCTTCGTAGGAAAAACAAACAGCTATCCCATAGGCGTAACTCCCCGTCCTTTTTCCAGGTGTTCCTTCCTTCCCGAAAGTCAACAAACACGGAAAGAGGTTAGTTTTAACATAGATTTCACCTTGCATCGACCCAACTCAACCCCCGCAAAGTCCCCCAACGTGTGGCTTGTGTTTGATTTGGAACCAACTCTGGGTCGAGACCTTGTTTCTTCCACCGGTTTTTGGACGAAAAACGCAAAGCAGTTTTGGAAAAGCAACAAACCCATGTGCGAGCAGAAAAAAACGCGTCCTTCCTGCCCCATTTCCCCTCCCCCCCAACCTCAAAATTCGCAAAAAGCAACCCAAAACTCCGATTTTTCGGCCAACCGAACCTGGAGGCCAGAACCAAAGTTGTTGACCACTCCTTCCCCCCTCCCCAAACCCCCCCCCCCCCCCCCTCGTGAAACCCCCCTCCTCTCCCGGTGACCCCCGGTGACCGCCCCCCCCGCCCCCCATCGCTCAGCATCGGTCAGGGCGCGGCAGAGCGCGCTGCTGCGGCGGCAGGTGGCGGAGACGACCATCGCCTCCCACGGCGGGAAACGTAGCGCCTGGGTCGAGGTGGTTTGGTTTTTTTGGGGTTTTGGGTGTCCTTTGATTGCAGCTCTTTGGAGTTCAACCCGAGGTTTTTCGCGGGTTTTTGCGGGTATCTCTTTGGGCGTCGATTTTTGGAGCCAGTCGAGTATCTCTTTTTGGCGTCCGGATTTGAGTCGCTCGGGGTTTTTGCGGGTGTCGCTTTGGCAAAGTCGATTCTTGGAGTCCCTCCCTGAGATCCGAGAAGGGACTCAAGTAGGTCACCTTTTTGGGTTCAAGCCATGTTAGTGGCACAGAGCAAGAAGTTCGGACTTGTTCTGGGCAACCCACCTGGGAAGTGAGCTTTGGGTGTCTCTTTTGCGTTTTTTTTTTTTTTTTTTGTTTTCTCCCACCCGTTTTTTTTTTTTTTTTTTTTTTTTTTTTTTTTTTTTTTTTTTTTAAATATATATATATATATATATTTATTTTTTTATAATTATTCTTTGGATTTGTGAAAGACCACCCTCCCATTTTGAGTGTCTATTGAGCCTCGTTGAGCGGCGGTTTTGGGGTTTGAAGGAAACAACACCATCCATGTTGGTCCGAGAGACAAAACCGTTAAACGGTGAAGGACCGAACTGGCCAAGACTCAACCATTGCGTGCCTGTCGCTTCAAAAGGGGAGACGTAGAGAAAGCGGCATTTGGCACGAAGCCAAACGCTGAGAGAAAGTGGGATCAAGGTGCGTGACACATGTTGCCGGAGCAGCTTTCTTTTGCCTCCTCTTGAAGAGGCTGTCGAGGTCCAAATGAACCCAGTCAAGCTGACCTCTTTTGAGGTTCCTGTGTGCTTTGTTAGTTGAGGGACTAAGTTTGAACTTTGCATGAAGGGAGGAGTCCCCTTCAATCAAGTTCAGGTCACCAGCAAATTCCTGACAAGAAAGATTGGCAGATCCTGACCCCCGAGCAGCTCTTAGCGCCCACCTCGACCGAGATTCATGGGACGTTCAGCTGAGTTATGAAATTCATCAGTTGCCTTTGTTCCATGTGATGGAGGACCCACTTTTTTCCAAGCGTTCGATTGCAAAATGATCTGCATAGCCTTTCCGGCTGCACATTTGCCTTGGGATTTGGCCCTTGAGTAGGATCTCTGGAAAGAATGGATAAGGGGTAATTGCCCTCCCACAAATATGGCAATGGTCCGATGCAAGTTGTTCAGTGGCTTCCACCCTCTAAATCTCCTGGTAGGTTGGTAAAAAATGATCTTAGCCCCAAGAAGGAGATGGTCCCTGGTTGGTCCTCGGAGTGGAGCTAGCTACTTCTGTGTCAAAATCGCCCGGTCCATGGATTCTCCTTAAAGAGACAACCCCCCCCCCAAAAAAAAAACAGGCTGCCCTCAACAAAAATCCATACACGGCTCTTTGCTATCAAGCGGAACACCATCCATTTCTGGACCTCATATTTTCACATTCCGCACCCATTGCCCGCTGAGATATGATGACCTTGCTCAGCCCGCAAGCGGCCCCTCGGATAGCACTCCGTTGCACTTGACTGGAGTCGATGCATGCGGTTCGGTTGAAGGTTACAAATGAGAAGCGCCCAAACTGATTCCCGGGGCCGTTTCACGTTCGGATCATAGTTGGTTCAATGGGGATCGGGATTGTAATCATGCCCACATGACAACCATCTTAGAACCAAAGGTCAATGGGTTTTGGGCGCTGCTCAACAATAAGGTTTGTCTTTTTCTTTTTTCTCTCTCTTTTGCTATGGATACCCCCCCTCTTTTTGAGTTCAAGGCAGTGGGGAATCCTATGGTATACTTGGAGGCCTGTGTCTTAGGCCGCTCTGAGGCCGGCCCCCTTGCCATCCACAACATCTCCCTGCTGCAGGAGGCGGAGCATCCTTGAGCAGCGGGGCAAACATTTTTTGGTTTCCGAAGCGGGCATGCCGAATTGACTGTGGGTCAAAAATAGGTTAACCCCAATTTGGGTTGCCCTGGACAGTGGAAACATGGACCAACACCTGCGGTCTGGTGGTTTAATTTTGACCAATACCCAATTAGGAATCTGCTATGTGGATGGACCCGGTTACACCAGTTGGCAGGGATGAAGCCCCTTTGCCGGTGAAAGCCTTCGCTTTTTGCGCAGGCGGAAGAGGTTCATGTTTGGTTCCCGGGTTTCCGGGCTCGGCTTATCTCTCGGTCGGGTTGGACTCAACGAGGTTCCGGCCAAGACTCGCGGACCTGAATTCCAAAGACCCAACGACCTTGACCGACCTCCGTTTTGGTGGCTCCGGGGGGTTTGTGCTTTGATGGGCGGTTCTTTCCATGTGCGGTTGCATGCATTGCAGACCCCAACGTGGATGGTCTGGCTGTCATTTGGACGAGGCTTAGGGACGAAGAGAGAGGATGGGCTTCACCACGGATTCCACAGCTCCTGGTGTTTCTCTTTAACAGGACTTACTTGGAAGCAGATGAGGAGTGAATACGTCTGACCGCATGCTCATCTTCCCCTTCTCGAATTTCGGCGATCGACAATTTTTCTTTCGTGGGAAGGGCCAGAGGAAATGGAGACTCACCCTTCCCGTTTTGTGTCTGAGTAGCGTTTCTACATGACGTTTTTATCTCTTGATTAGGAGCTACATGACATAAGGGACAAAAAACCCGGGGTT